AGGCTGGCCTTCTGGAGTTGTTTTAAGGCCGTGCCCGTTGGAGCTGGACTGGCTGCACAAGACAGCTTCGGAGATCAAGTCCATTGTCGTGGATCTTTGCGATGTTGCTTGAGCTTCGAGTCTGGGTGCATTTTGGCAGCGTGGTTGCATTTCGACAGGTTGGCTTGCCATTTTTCCTGGACAGATTGGCCGTACTTTGGTTTCGCTGAAGTTTTGTTTGAGCTGCAATTGTATTTTTGCTGCATTTCGGCTGCATTTGCGCCGCGTTTGAGCTGGAATCCATTTGGGCTGCAAGGTTCCATTTCGGCTGTCTGGATTGCATTTTGACAACATTTTTGGTCGCGTTTTGGCTGACGTTCAGCCGAGTTTGCGCAGATTTTTCAGCTGTTTTTTGCCGACTTTTAGTGGTTTCCAGACAGCCGGATAGGTGGGGACGGAGCTTGACTTGGACATCGTTTTGGACTGCGTGTCAGCTGGATTGAGCAGTGCTTGGGCAGCACATGAGCTGGAATTGGACAGCGGATTTGAGTTCTCCATCATTTGCAGAAGGCAACGCAGCACAAGATCCATCATCAGCTTTGCGGCTGTGGCGCGGCCGGCGGCGCGAGCCTGGGGTGTCAGTTTTGTAATTTTTGGTCTGTAGCTCGGATGGGTAGCCTGTTGATGACGGAGAAGCTTCCGCGTCAAAAATCCCGGCCGCCAGCTAAGCCGGAGCGTGGTCAGAATGCAGGAGCCGCTGCCAGTCATCGCCTGCAGCCCGGACCCGTCTTTGCCTAGCAGTTCCGCCGTTTGGGCAATAGATTCGGCTGTGACGCAGGCAAACGCGCTGCAGGCCAAGTCACAGTGACCGCAGTGACCGCGTAGTGACCGCATAGTGACCGCGTAGTGACCGCGTAGTGACCGCGTAGTGACCGCGTAGTGACCGCGTTGTGACCGCGTAGTGACTGCGTAGTGACCGCAAAAAAAAACTTGAAAATGGCTACAATTTGTTTTTGCATTTTTTTGATGAAAGTCAAGGTTTCGGGGCGGGTTGGGCGGCTATACTTCGGGGCGGACTATGGTGCTAGCTGGGCATCCACCCTGAGCGCTTTGTCTCGGACTGGCCGTGGTCCTGCGCTTAGACATTAGCGGAGCACGCGATAACCGCGGAACGGTTTCTCTCGAAAACACTTGTTGCAATTCATGTTGCTGTGACTACCAACATCGGTATGTATCATCACCGTTGCAATCCTCATGACATTCTCTTCCTCTCAGTTCTGTTAGTCCGCCTCTTGCGTGTCTTCTCCGTCTTCCACGCATCAGTCCTTTTAGCGATCATATGGCATACGGGTTGTTACGCTTGTGGTCACGAGGCAGCAGGATGGCGGCGACGGCGGTGGTGACTGTTCTTGTTGTAGCAACCCCAGGAAAGAAGTAGTCCCAGTAAAAGAGATCCGAGATGGAGACTCGTCTTGGATTGTCGTCTCTCTTCGGTGTCTGCTCAGTCGACGAAGATGTTTTGTGGAGAAGTCGAGAGCCTCATTGCAGGCTTTGGCTTGTGCCATGGAAGACAGAGATCAAGGACTTGGCAAAGCACAATTTCTAGCCTGGGCTGGCAGGTGGCTCTCGGCTTCGGCCCAGAGTGTGCTGTACAATGGATCGTTGGCAGTGCTGCCAGGTTTCCTGGGCTACATGGTCGGACGCTGCGTGCTCTCAGAGTCTCGCGTTGTGAGTGCTGATATCCTTTGTCCGAGGTCAACTACTTCGTTATGCTCCTTGATCTCTTTTTGGTTTATGGGAGCATCGGTCCAGCTTTGCTACGACATGCTGCTTGAGGCTAGTGGGCAAGCTCGCGTTTAGTGCGGTGATCGATGCGGCTGGCTGGACGGGGCATGTGGTGAAAATGGACCTCTCCCGCCTCCTCAGCATGCTGCTGGCGAGCAGCTCAAAGAAAGTCTAGGAGATCAAGAGTGTGTGGCGAAGTGCGTGTGCTCTAAGGTGATGGTAGGCTCGGCCTTATGTCTCAGCTCTCTGTGCTGCGTTCTTTGCTCTCTATCCATCTACAGTGACTGCCGGCCCCAAGCTTTAGTTGCAGGTGTCCTGATCTTCACCGTGAAGTCCTGGACGGAGGTTGCACGGGCATGGTTGGCTATGAGTCCGAAGCGGACAAGAAGCCCCTTGGCTGTGCCAATGCCTGGTTAGCAATTTCCCCTGAACTGCACTGGCAGGTCCGAGGAAGACTTTGATCTTGTACAGCTGGTTGACGCCGTCTGCTCTGACCATGAGGATCTTGAGGACATACAAGTGAGCCTGTGTTTCAAGTCCTGTGCATTGCGGCATCAATTGTGCCAGGAAGACACCGACATGACAAGATGAACGATTTTCGGAGTCTGCGCGCCCTCTACCACGCTGCGCGGTTCTGTGTACAGAAAGGCATTGCCTGGATCTGCAGTCGCATTCTCGCAACTGTTGCAAGCCTTGTTGCTCAGTTGCTTGAGCATCTACTTTGCGATTGCAATTGCAAAGCTTAGACTCGTCTCGTCATGGAACGGCTTTGCCGAAGGTTGCTAGAGACCTCCGTGACGATGTGACGAAGAGGCTTCTTTCTGCACTGGAAAAGCTTGCGGCAGCGAGCAGCGTAACAAAATGCAGTGCTTCTGCAGCTGGGAAGGGAGGAACAGCTTGGGACCCTATCTTGTGTGGGCCTAGCCAGGCAGGCAAGCAAAGACCGCCATCGAGGTACAGTATCCAGGCTTCAGTGCACAGCCCGACCCCACAACTGACTTGACGCATCAGGAGAGTCCCAAACGTACACTCACGAGCACGTTGAGCTTGTGCAACTCGCAGCCATGGGGGAACCGTCCAGCCTGACGGGAGATGTCGGACCCGCTTTGCTCGAGTGTGTATTTCCTTGCTAAATGGGTGAGATTCGGGGAGAGAGCCACGGCGTAACCGAGGACCTGCTTTTCCGGTAGTCATACCTGTGGGACGCCGGGGCCTCGACCACTCGGGTCCAAAGTTGGGCCACGCCTGTATCCTGCTTGCATCACTTTTTCAGGCGCCGGTTCGATCGAGGAAGCTGTGCCACCTGCAGACGCTGCGAATGATTCAGGAAGTTCAGGCCACCGATGCCCAAGTCCGAACAAAATCGAAGCAGTTTTGCTGTCTGCCTTCTGGGGAGACATTGGTTCGTTGCTCGGGTCGGCAGAGAACGTTCACTGCAAGGTGTTGTTGGGAGACGAAATCAACTCAAGAGATGCAGATAATGTTTGCACGTCTACGAAGAGAGATGGCACAAGACCCACCCGACGGGTTTCGCAGCTTCGAACTCTGAGATCTCCTTGCCAGGACCGGCAGGACCCGAAGCCGAAGCTGCCATGTGGAAGGCCGGGAGACTCAACGCAAGCGCGAGCAAGGTTCAGCTTGCAAAAGAGAGGCCCTCGGTGATGTTGTGACCACAAGGCAGGGAGGGAAGGAGCCAGGGTTAGGAGGGGTGCGTGTATGACGACGCGCCGCCCCTGAATCTCAGGCTAAAGCTGGCTGCAGACACCTTGTCGAAGGCAGGACTTGGGGCCCAACTCGACAGGGCAGAACCCCAGCTTTACTGACTCCATATCCTCTTCCAAGGGACCACCGAGTGCTCCCGCCCGGGTTCCCAGAAGGACGATACTTTTACAGAGGCTTTCCGTGACACACAGCCCAGGCACCCCCTTTCACGAGCAGCAGCGCGCTGCCCCCGGTTGGCCCAGGCGCTCGAAATCCGCCAATGTTGCAAGTGTTGTACAATGCAAGGTGCAAGTGCACGAATCTTGAAGATGACGACATATAGACAAATGCGACTGACAGATTCACACAGGATTCATGTCAACACTGTCCAAAAGCCGGCCTTGCTCGTGCTTCGTCTTGTTGCTGTTCACGATTTTCGCAATTTCTGGTTTTGGGGAGACGTGATTTGATTCAGGCATAAATGACGTAGCAGGAGTCGCAGTCGTCGCGGTCGTCATGGTCGAGTTCAAGTGGAAGATGTCTCGGTAGTGCTGTAGCGGGGCACAGCGGTTGCAGCAGCAGATCCTGAGAGCAGCAGTTGTTTTGGTCACCGGTATCCCATCAGTGGTGCCTTGTTCAAGGCCTGGGCATGGGAGCCTTGCCCTCCGTGCCGGTCTCCGGTGCCGGTCCCGGTCCCTGGGGAGCCCAGCCACCGATGCCGCCCGTCGTCAGGTCCTTAGCCACACCGAGTGATTTGAAAGTCGCTTCGAGCTTTGCGGGTTCTTTCGAGGTGGCGCCCGCCTCGACGCTTCCATGTGCGCTGTGGGCTTCGCAGTGCGTCGCCGGCTCGGTCGTCGTCTGGACGTGTTGACGGCCCTGCTATGGCTGTGCTAGGCGGTCCTCGCTCAGCGAAGACCTTCGCAAAAGGCAGATCCACCTTGCATTGCTTTGGTCAGATAAACGAGTTGTCTGTTTTTTGATTCTGACGAAGGCTCTGGGCAGATTTCTCTGATGCTGCGTCGCATGACAGAGCAGTACCAGAAAAATTGAGATTGCAATACGTGCTGCAGCAAATGCTGTGTCAAAGATGTCCCTACCTGCATCGTGCTCCAGCTTCAGTTGAACTCCGCATTGCAAGATTCAGCAAGACCCTCAACCACACAAGAAAGAGCCACACGTCAGGAGCGCAGCTCTGTGCACATGGAGTCTCTTGAGTCCAGCTGATGATTTCTCATTTCTGTAAGCACTGATGCAACCTCCGGAGCAGCCTGCCAGTTCAGCGCCGGCTTCCAGTGCTGCAGTGAGGCGCCAAAGGGACTTAGAGTGAAATGCCCTGCTCTGGCAGAAAGAGAGGCGGCTGCGGAAAGACTTGGAAGCCTTGCAAGCCTCCGGCAACCCTCAGCTTCTGGTGCGTCCCTCGGAGGCCCGCTTTTGATAGGAATTCATAAACGGGCTTGCAGCTGTGCAGTTCGCTGGGAGGAGAGTCTGCTGGAATGGCACTTTGTTCTTCATTCCCTTCCGGCTGATACTCCATACAGCCAGGGCTGCTATCACGGCAAGATTCTCTTTCCAAGCACCTACCCGCATGCTCCACCGGCGATCATGATGATCACTCCGAGTGGGAGACTCGAGACGGGGAAGCGGCTTTGTCTAAGCATGACGGACTTCCACCCAGAGAGTTGGAATCCGGCCTGGTCGGTGGAAACCATCCTCGTCGGTCTTTTGTCTTTCTTTATCTCCAGCGAGAGGGGCTACGGCGCGGTACAGGCGCCGGAAGAACAACGCCGCAAGCTTGCCGCCGAGTCCTGGCAAGTGAATGCCGCCTCCTCCACCTTTGCCGCCCTGTTCCCAGAGTTTCGAGAGAAACCCGCAGTCTCGGTCTCGGTGTCGGTGCTCGAGGACCAAAACGAGGTCGCCGGGGAGGCCCAGGCTGGGCAGGGGTCTTCGGAGCAGAGCCAGCAGAGCTCTCAGGCTGGCCAGGTCAGTTCTCGAGATTTGGAAGCTGCAGTAGACGATGAGCCTACGGAATGTTGGATTTGTCGTGACACGACAGATGAGCCTTTGATTCAGCCATGCCTTTGCCGTGGTTCTATGAGCGGTGTTCATGCCAGCTGCGTCGAAGAGTGGATCCGACACCATCGTCGGACTGCCACCAACGATGCACCTCCAATGTGCTCTGTCTGTCACCAGCCATATCATGGCTCCGAAAGGATACCAGGCGTGCGGGACTTTGTCTGCTACTTAGTTGGCTCTGTTTAGGAATCCCACAGCCTTGACAGCACCAACAACTGCTTAGAAGAGACCCGGCCAAGGGTTTGCGCACCTCGAGATTCAAATCTTCTGTTTTAATGCTGTTTCAGCAGATTCGGCGCATGCCATAAGGTCAGACACAAGTGCCGCGATTTCGGAACGCAGTGCTGCAGAACGCTCTTGCTGGTGCTTCTGCTCATGACGTACCAGGCTCGGATGCTAGGACCTCACTGAGCCTGAGCCTTGTCGTATGTTGCTAGGACTGCTAGGACGTCACAATTGCAGCCTGTCAGAGACCCTGTGAGGTGAGTGCTTTGAACAGCAGCAGCTTGCATTTGTCACTGCCCCTGCGCATCCTGGGCATCTCTGCCTTCGCTGTTCTGGCTCTCTACCGGTTGATGGTGCTCTTGGTTTCGCTGCCTCCGTATCGTCTGCCGCCGGAGAATCGGTTCCTGCTGCGATTTTTCATCTCCGAGCCGAAGCTGCTCGCCTTGCACATCGCTGAGGCTGCTGCCACCATCACAGCCACTCGCCTTCGCTTAGGAAGCATTTTCCGTGACACTGTTCCGTGAAAGCTCTGCCGCCGTTTTTGGTCGAGGTGATGGCCTTCTGGTGCATCTCCGGGTTCATGTCTTGGATATACTTTGCTCCATTCGCTGGTGCTACGCTGATACTCATGGCGAAGTTGTTCTGCAGGCTTCTTGCTCAACTGCAGTGTTTCAAGCTGGCTCAGCCATAGTGACTTCAGGGAGCAAACGCTTGCAGTTCCTTGCGTGCGGAGTTGTGGAGAGAGGGGCCTAGAAGAGAGGCAGCCTTCTGCCGACTGCGTGGGCCGTTGCGGGCGTATTCTGCTATGTATTTTGGTGCAGCCTGGCTCATCTTTGACACCATCGTTCTAGCGCCAACTGGGGCTCACTTGTGCAGCTCAGGTCACCTGTCGTGCTTGTCGGGGCAGTCATTATGCTGATCAGGACGCTTCTGGTGAGTTCTCTGGCCTTGGCTTGGGTTCTGTCGCGTGCAGGAAATACCCGCACATGGTGTTTCATCCTCTCGGTCCGGGGCCGCACCTGCTCGTGGCCATCGCAGTAGCCTTCCGAGCATTGTGCATGTTCCGCGGAGATCGCTCCTTCTCTGCCGTTGCTGTCTTCTCAGGTGGTTCCAATGGCCTTGACTCTTCAGTCCAACCTACCTCTGCTGATCTTGTGGGGGACAGGGCTCCAGCAGCAGATGGAATTTCCTTGTGCCGGGGCATTGGTCGGTGACGAGGACCCATAGCCTTGGGCTGACGCTGGGCCTCCTGGAGCTCTTCGCCATCAAGCGTTTTCGCTGGAAGCGTGGTGTGGCTTGGGGATTTGTGGTGCAGGCCCGTAAGAGCCTTCTGCTCCACGTGTCGTGTTGTGATTGACTGCTTGACCAGGCCACTCTGCTGGCTTGCTACGTGGCAGATACTGCAAGCAAGAGCCGCCATATCCTGTACCGTAGCTCTCTCGTTGTTCTTGTTTGCATCCGAGGCTATCTGAGCAACATCTGCGTCTTTCCTGCAGGCTGCAGATACAGGTGGTGGTAGGGGCTCCTCTTGCTTGGTCGTTGAACTTGCAGGAGTCGGAGACGCTCAGCAATCCACCTGGATCGTTGCAGGCTCGCCACACTTTAACTCCAATTTCAGTGGGCTAGAACTGGACCACCACATGCAGAGTGTGACTGAATCCAGGGCCAGGGTGAATAAAATGACGGACAAGCTGTCAAGCACTAGTCACTAGTTGTTAGAACAGAGCTGCCCGCTGCCTGTGTCGATGGATGTTACCATGTCGGGGCAGCATGTTGATTGACATTCCGCTCGTGAAGGCATTTTGGGGAGCTTGTGACATATCGTATACTGGATGTGATAATTCAAGTCGAGAGTATCTTAAGCGCTTGGCCCGACTTACGGTATGAAGCTTCCATTCCACCTAAAGTTATTGTGTTGGGCACAATCTGTTCAAACGTGGCTCTGCGAGATGAGGCAGTTCGGTGACATGGATGCTGTTGTTGCTGGGTCTCTGCCTCAAGACCCCTGGCCGCATTGACGAATCATGCGAAGCAGCTACACGCCGCCTGCGGACACGTCCAACTCGCTCTCAGGATAAACTGGGAGCTCTGTCTCCAGCGCCCTGGCTGACAGTCTTCCCTCCTACCGATTCTTGAGGTGCTACCCGGTTTGGGGAAGACTTCCTGAGGTACTACCGAACATGGCAGCGCCGTCATGGCAGCTTCACGCTGAACACACCAGCTGAAGGTGCGAGTTGGAAGGTGTCGTGTCGTCACTCTGAGCTCTGAGAGAGCTTGCACATGCAGTTGCAAATCTTCTCCTGAGTGACTAGGAGCCACCCAGTGATCCTTCGCAAAAAGGCAGTGAGCCCTAGTTCGAGACTAGGCTGTGTACAGCAAGTCCTGGTTGCATGATGCACCCGCCGATTCTATAAGAATCGACAAGCAGTCGCAGCCAGCTTCCTTCCCTCCCAAGTGCTTGGCTTGGATGGAAGCAGGTCTGCAAAGCCTTTGTCCAAGACGTGGATCCGCGTTGGGCGGTTACCACCTGCACGGCCTGCTCTCAGCCGCAGCACGAGATGCCACCAAAAAAGAAGGGGTGCGAAGCTACAGAATGTGATCTGAAGGCATCGCAACTGTCAGTTAGTGCCTCCCAAGCGCAGCTGGTCGGATCTAGGCTCAGCCTTGCAGGATTGAGCCGGCGCGGGCCCTTTCGATATAAGCCCACGGCAGACAAGAGTCATTCATATGCTTGTTGATCTAACTTCATGGAACCGATTACACGTCGTTCTCTTTCTAGGTTCATTTGGAAAGCTTTCCTTGAGCCGTGTCTCCACTCTGAGCCATCTTCCGGAGACGTCGAAGGTCCGTTTATCAGGGCTTTATCAGGGCGGGTTCTTCCAATGCATCTGGACTCGCAGGCATGATCTCCACCGAGACGAGCAAATGCGGCCTCACAGGTCTGACTTTGTTTTGTAAGCTCCGGGAGGGATATCCCTCCTGGCTCTTTTCAGGCCAGATGCCTGCGTCCACCAAGCCACACCTCTTCGTCTTCGGCGGACACAGCGGCAAGGCCCGTCAAAAAGCGATTCTAGCCTGATGAAGGTCTGTAAGCAGGCCTTCCGTATACTAGCCTTGCTTGAGCGATCAGTCTTCGGCTTCGGCCAGGTATGCTTGTCCCCCCCCTTTCTCTGGCGGAACTCTGTCTGTAGTTGGAGTCTAGCACGTGACCATCATGAGCATCCGGGCAGGGTATGCTGATGGCGACAGAGATAGCCGTGAGCGACAGGACTACTTCGTGCTCGGCGTAGGTGCAGTATGCAGCAGAGCATGCTGTTGCGATGCAAGGACTTGTGCGATCACAACTATATCGAAGCGTGGCAAACCTGCGGCACCCGGTCCTGCATCTGCATTTGCGCAGGCAAGGTCCTTCTACATCTTTCGTATTGCTTGTGATTGGCATTTGCTAACATCGCAGGCGATGGCTGCCTCTTCGGTGCATTACATGGCTGCCTGTGACGAAAAGGACGTGAAGGCCGCTCGGGCACAAGTATGAAGTTGGCACAGCATGGAAGCAGACTGGCTGGAACGACCGGCGTGCGGGTCACTGTGGCAACGTTTGTAGCCTGCATGTGATTCTGTATACTGACAAAGACGGTGGTGCTGTGTCTGCAAAACTTCAGGCAGTTGAGTGCCTCATGGACTGGATGCCACCTTCTCGTCAGCGGACCCCTGAGATCGATCAGGGTGACAGTGTCGGCAAACGGGCAGAACTTCAAGTATTTTGATCTCGGCTGCGTTGTCAATCGAGGCCTTTGCCGGAAGCGCGCTTCGACGTGAACGAGGTTCATCTGTGTCTGCTGTTTTGTGTTTCTGTTTCGGTGTCACCAGAGCAGCATGTGATAATGCATATCTTTGCTTCGAACAGAAGGCAGGTGGAAGGACCTTGTTTCCTCTTACGCACCTGTGCAGGTAATGGAAGCTGTCAAGAAGGACCGCCGATCCAGAGCTGATTCGCTGCTTTTCTCACTTGAGTGCCTAACAGGAGATCGAGGGCATGAACGAGCAGCAGCTCACCAGAGCGCTGGAGACTCTCCAAGGGCTGAAGAACGCATCGCAGAAGAACCAAAGGCCAACTTGAAGAGTCTCTGTCTGGGAGCCTTTGCCATAGTGTCGTGCTAGGCAGATCAAAGCTCGCCTAGAGCACAAAGACAACTGCAGCCCCGAGGAGAAGACGCGCCTGCAGGACGGGAGGGGGCTAGATGAAGTGACCTGCGTGACTGTGGGGCCCCTCGTGTCTTACGATATCCAGGGCACCTCTTGGGCTCAGACGAAATGACACAATTGTGTTTCCCCTTGTAGGGTAACAGACTCCAGCGCTTTTCTCCGCCATACAACAGCTGCTCAGTGCCAAAGACCGTGAGAATGCTGAAGAGCAACAAGCTGAAATACCTTGCATCCAGTCAAAAGAACTGTCATGCTAACATGGCAACAAACCCGTCGTAAAGCGTGATTATCCGAGCCCTTCGGGAGCATGACTACCCTTGAAGAAGCCTGGCCATTGGCATTACCAATTTGCTGCTAGACGTCCAGGACATGCGCTTGGATTTGCAAGAAAAAGAAGCTGCGTTCCTGGAGCTCATTGCGGACCTGCAGCAAAAGAAAGGTGAGGAACAGAAGGCAGCGCTTCGCAGGGGGCAGTCTACACAAAACATACCAGCCATGGCTCTTGGCCATCACGCGCCACAGCCACGAAGGTTCCCAAGGTGGACAAATTTCAGCTTATTGGGCATGGTGAGAAGGGACCTTGGGGGCATCAGAATGGCTGCATCTAGCATCGCAATGAAGCTGAGGTTGGCACAGCCAGGGTGGTCCCGTAACATACAGAGCCAGTGCAGACTTCTACACTGGGTTTGCTGGTGAGCAGCTGAAACGTTTTGTGGCTTGCCTGAGTCAGTTTCAATCAGCTGACACGATGCAGATGCCCCAGAAGCATACAAATAGACTGAAGACTTGATCTGATGTGTCTGCCTGGCCAGGCATTGCCAAACAGTTCCGAACAGGCCCGGGTCTGCCTGAGATGAAGCAGACTTGTCGGCATGATTCAGCATGGCCTTTGCAGGAAGTGTGCCACGTTGAGACCCTGCTGAAGCAAATGGAGAAGGCCTGGGAAGTCGTCTGCAATGTGGTTTCCAACGCACTTGCCTGTGATGCTTCCGGCAAGAGCTGCGATGGCAACGGGGCAAAAAATGCTGGGTACAAAAAATCGACTGACGGAGCATCATGGCAGAGATCCTTGTGGCAATAGCACATACAATCCAATATAAACCTTTAGATGTTCGATCCTTCATGTACCGCCTTCACGTACAGGACATGTCATATATCGGCAGTACGGTACGAATCGGCTTGTTAGTGCAACCAACCCCCGCATAGCGCGGGAGAGATAAAATTTTGTTCAGGCATTTTTGCGTGGGTAGCTACGCAGCACACGTACTCTTGTGATTGACGTTCGGCGTGACTCAGCTGGAACTCGTTGTGGCATCCTGTTTTCCGCCTGGTTGTCAGAACCCTAAACCCTAAACACTAAGAAAATTGCAGGAGCTGGCCTTGCAAAAGGCCGTCTGACGCACCTGCGACTCTGCGTAGACGTGTCTTCATCATGTGGAAACGTTCCAGGATCAGGAGCTTACGTGTCACGCCGAACGGAATGAGTTAAGGGAAATGGTCCAGACGCACGTCTTCCAGAAAAGAGCGCTTTGCTGTTTCTTTAGCTGTGTGCCATGGCAGTTGTGGTACGCTCCGGCAATCGAAGTTTTCCTGACCAGTTGCTCGAACCCATAGGGGGCCAGTCTCAGAAGACTAATTAGTTAGCCTTCAAGCCAGCAATGCAGATGCTTTTGACACCGACAACTCACAGCCAACAACCCAGTAAGGTACCCGCGTTCGGCGCAGCAGAAGCAGCTCTCAGCGGGAGTTTCATGTCACCATGCCTGCTCGAAATCGATCTCGTGAAGTATAAGGCTTCTTCGGACTGGATGGCTGCGTCGGCTGGGGTTATCTGATCTGTCAGGTTCGCAACGATGATCCCGAGGATCTTGTGAATCAACTATGGCAAGGTCCTGATACCGACATTTCCTCAGCTGAGACTCTTGCTTCGGGCTGATCATCAGTGTAGAGGGTCCAGCAAGATTGGCCAAAGCAATCCTCGCGCGTCTTCAGGCCGCCACTTTGCCTTTGACTTTGGTTCGCAGCCTTGGCCTCAAGAAGGAACTAAGGGGCCTTTCCTTTGTGTTAGTGGAGAAGAGCTGCCCACAGCGAAGGTTCGAACTCTGGAGCAGGCAGTTGGTGATGCCAGGGGTGCGCACGTCTCACTGCCCCACGCTCTCCCTCTCATACACACGCACGTTTAGGAGGCGTGCTGTGGAGACGGGTACCAGCAATCTGCCGTTGTTTGCCCTTGAAGCTTGCTTGGAACATGAGCTGTTGCTGAAAGTTGTGGGTTCGGCTCAAGAACGCGAGTGTCTCTGGCCCTGTTTACTTCTTTTGAAGCGATGTCCGAGGCCGACTACTATCAGCTCATTGGCGTGGGCCGGGATGCCACTCTCCATGAGATCAGGTCCAAGTTTCGTGCAAAGGTCCTCGCCGAGCACCCGGACAAGGGTGGAGACCCAAAGAAGTTTCAGCTCCTCAACAAGGCCTACAATGTCTTGACAGACCAGGAGAAGCGCCGTCGCTACGATACCACAGGCCGCGCCGAGAAGTCCGCGGAAGAGGAGTTCGTGGAAGGGTTTGCAGGTGGAAGGCATCACTTCGAACCCCGCAGCAAGGATGCCGATGAGAAAGCCATTGTGAGCCTGAAGGACCGGATCATCACAGGAAACCAGACCCATGAAGAGGGCTTCGCCGAGTGGCTCCGGCAAAGAGATCAGCAGGCCATGGTCCTGACAGACAAGGACTTCATGAAGACGCACCTCTTCAATGCCTCCGAGTTAGCAACGAAGATCAACCACCCCGGGCCTGTTCAGCACGTCCTGGGATCGCCCAAAACCGATGCTTACGGACAAGCTATGGGTGGCGCCATGCAGGTGCAGGTGAAACCTCGGCCCTTGAAGAAGACCATTGACCATGACGAGGTGCTGGTACGAATGCTTGCGGTGCCGGTGGACGACTCCATGGTGTATGCTGATCTCAAGAAGACCGGTGTCTGCCTTGGCATGACGGGGGTCGGCAGAGTTGAACAGGCAGGAACTCGGGTGGAAGACTTGAAGCCAGAGGATGCAGTTCTGGTCCTTCCGAAGCCTACCAAGTTCTCCTCCGGACATCCGATTGGAACTGGCAGAACGCTGCTTACATGCAGCGAGGATGACTTGCTGCGAATCCCGTCGGAGATCTTGGAGCAGCTGACGCCTGAGCAGATCTGTTTGACCCCGACCATCGTCTGCGCTTACACGGTTCTGGAGCAGTTCGGCAGCAAGCTGAAGCCCGGCGACTCCGTCCTTATCAACGCCGCCCACCTCTCCGCCTCCGGCTCGGCTCTCTTGCAACTCTGCAAGCTCCTGAAGCTGAAGCCACTCTGCATGCTGCCGCTCCCCGGGTCTCCAAAGAATCTTGCGAAAGGCGAGTACGGCTCCAAGGCCGCTTGGGCGGAGGTCGACAACCGAGCGGCCGCAACACCCACCGTGCGTGCCCAGTATGAGCGCATCTCGGAGCAGCTGGTGACCATGGGAGCGGAGGAGGTCTTCCCCGACGCCGTCGCACTCTTGCGGTGGCGGGATCGCAATCAGCGCATGCTGCCCAAACTCGCCTTGGATGGCATCGCCACGCGTGACTCTTGCGAGCAGCTGATCCATTGCCTGCAATCTGGTGACAAGGATGCCCAGATTGTTGTCTACGGCCACGGCATTGCTCAACCCTTGGAGATTTCACCGCCTTTATTGGCCGCCTGGGGCGGTCGCATTGTTGGCTTCAACATTTCAAGGTGGGTGCACTCCCTGTCTGCCAACGCCAAGAAGATGATGGCCGTCATGGAAAATGTACCCTGGCACAGACAGCGTGTTGCGTGTTTTTGCATGTTCCTTGACTCTGTGTACTCTGTGTCTATAACTGTGAGGTCACAAAGCTTGTGCGGGCGAACAAGTTCGTGTTGGACACCGTCGTGTACAAGGTCGGTGAGGATGCTTGCAGCGAGGCCTTCTCCCGAGCCGCGGACGCCAGCGACAACACCCAGGCCAGGGCACACCATCTTTTATAAAAAAAACCTCCCGTGCTTCCTTTGTCGCCCCCCTTCAGGTGGTGCTGGTCTTCCCCACTTTGCAGGAGGAGCTGGCATTGTCTGCTCAGGAGCAGCGGGCCGAAAGGGAGAAGCAAGCCAAGCACAAGGCCAGGGGCCCGGTCCAAGGAGAGCTTGTCATGTGCTATGTCACACGCATCACTACCATTGCTTCAAAGTTCTGGATAAATTCGTCTTCATGAATCCTAAGGAGGAGGAGGCGGCCAAGAAGAAAGAGGAGGAAGAGCGCGACAGGCTGAAAGCCGATTGGCTCAATCTCCTCTTCACGGACCAGAGCGTGGCTGCCATGAGCCCAGAGGCCTGGTCTTTTTGTTTCAGAAATTTTTTCTTAGCATTAAAAACTGCTTTTGTGACAGGGTCCTCTGCCAACAGCGCACGAGGGTGTGGGCCTTAGACTCCCGCGAAAGAAGGTCGGGTCAGGTCCTGTGCGCCTCGAGGTGGTAACCTGGACAGTCCGAATGCACTGGTGATCTGGCTGGGAGATGACTCCCAGAACGAAGCGGCTGCCGTAAGGGACCGCTGCCTGCTTTGGAGACACCGTGCCACCAGTGAGAGCAGCACTGTGCCTTCTCTGCTCTGTCTCAGGAAGTCGCCTCGCAAGTTGGGAGCGCTGCCTTCGTCTCTCTTGCTTGGGCTCAGCATCCAGCCGCTGAGGCCTGTGAGAGCAAGCGGAGAAGTTGAGAAGCGAGGCTTTCCTGTCTCGGCCAGGCCTTCGCCGATTTCTCGTTGAAGTTGCCAGAGGTCGTGGACGGCTCCTTCTTCCTTCGTGATCGGCAGGCCTTCGAGAACCAGGCCCAACAGTAGCAGCAAGGTACCTTTAGTGAGGCTCAGAGCCCATAGCGGTCCTCAGCGAGGACCTGGATTTGCTCCACGATGTTGAGCTCTTGGGCCGCTGTCTCGCAGAGTCGATCGAGACAAAGCTGGGTGAGTTTGGCCTTAGCTGGGACAAGGCCGGGCCGGGCCGGAGGGTTTCCGCTCCTGCTGCTCCTGCTGGTTTCGGGCCGCAAGGTGGTGATTCTCGGCTTTGGCAAGGGAGCCGGCATTGCCCTCTATGCCTCCCTCCTGAACATCTTTGCACAGCAGGCGCGGTGGAGGAGTCTTTGGACGGGCTAGCTTTACACCGAGCAGCTGTTGAGGTGGCCGCCACCGTCCTCTTCAGCCGCAACCCTAGGTATGTGCTTTTTGCATGTGGAGATGTGACACAAGTTCAGAGATGCTGCTGGCACCGAAGGCCCCATCGTGCTCTTCCCGTCCTTCCTGGCTGAGAAGATGCAGGCAAACTGATCCCGTAAGTTAGTCAAGGAAGCGTCAAAGCTGAATGCATCGGCTGTAGACAGGCCTTGCGCCAGACGACGACCGGCAAGATGAAGGTGTTCGCTGTGTGGGGCAATCGCAACAGGTGCGACCCAGAAGGGAGAAAAGGTCTTCTGCATGTTCGTTTCATGTCCAAGGTCCACGCCTGGTACCTACCGCCAGCTGTTGGCACAGACCATGCGCAAGGCGAAGGACGTGGTGTTCACGTCTGGGGCCTCGGTACTTTGCTTGGCTCCCCCGTGTATGTGTGGGAGCCAGGCCCGACACCCTGCCCGACGGGGACCACTCCTTCGACATGAAGAGCACGGAGCCCAGACAAAGTAACAGACGCCGCAATGACCCCGACTCACCATGGTGCCAAGGCGCGGGCGTGTTGTCCTCCATGCTGCCGCTGTGTCTGCCTCGCTGAGAGACTCAAGAAGTGGCCTCAGATCCTGCTCGGGTCCTCGAGAGACTCAAGAGTCAAGAGTCAACACTTGTCTTGATCTGCCAGACCAAGGTTGCGACTCAGTTTTGGCCAGCTCGGGACAGTCGTCTGTAAGCTGCGAAGCACCAAGTTTTGATTCTTGCACCTCTTTAGATTCTAGGGTCGTTCCGTATCAGGTTTACAATGCAACGTCAGTCACAGAAGGAGCCGTACAGAGACACAGCATATTATAACCTGGTGCAGTAGTAATAACTGCATCTGGAACGATGCAGATGGAAGCTCAGTAGACGGTACCCGGATGGGTTCCTGTGTTTTGGCGTTCTCTTCCCATTGGAACACGACGGGAGTGAGGCATTCGCATCGCTCTTGCTGTCGACCTGGGGCAACTGCCGTCTTCAGCTTCAGTCCGATTTGAACGGAAAATATCCGCAGCTGCGTTTCTTTGGGCCTCGGAATTCCTGGATCATCTGCTGCCTGCTCGCCGCAGGTGATCGGCTGCTTTTTGAGCCTTGCGGACATCCGAATGACCACGGCAGTCCAGGCCCCTGAAGAGAATGCTGTTGTCCCTGTGACAAGTCTGTGACATGCCGAGGCATCTGCAAAGCAGATCCCGAAGCCTGGGCTGTCCTCAGGCTCGGAAGTTGTTCACGTCTGGGAACACGTCTCTTGCTTGCAGGTTGCCTTCGGTCGGACACCAGGCCAAAGACTGGAGCTGGCCGGCGCGCATCTTGCCTGGCGATGGAGGGTTGCTTCCTCTCCAAGTTTAGCACAGCAACGGCTCCCTGTTGTGAAACACCGTGGGAATCGCTTCGCCAATGTGAGTTGGTACAGTAGTGAAGACGGGCTGCTGCTGGTGGTTAACGTGCCATGCTGCACAGAGACTTGCCCGGTGGCCATACCTGCTGACAGGGACCGGGATGGGTTGTCAAGACGTCGTTGTAAAGGTGAGCCTTGCTAAATCGGAGCGAACCCGATGAAGTTGGCTGCAATTTCGATAACAAACCAGGAGCACTCATGAGGGCCTACCAATTGGTCTGGCAGAAACATGAATGGAGTTTGCTTGTGCAAATTCCTGACTCTTGACCGTCGGCCACCTGCTGCCTCTTCTGATTCAATTCACATGCGAAGTATTCGGATGCCAGAGACTTGAATCGTCCAAGGTTCCATCCTTGCACAACGTAAGCTGGAAACGCTGCAGATTGGCTCTTGCCCTCGAGAGGTGCGCCCCGTGAACTCCTTTCTTCTCGGTTTTGCCCGTCACTCTGTGCTCAGGGCTCGAAGCTGGACCAGCTTCTCTTGCGCTGCAAGGACTGCTACCAGCGGTGCACTGCTAGAGACAGGCAGGTGGATTGAAGGCGGCGAAGCTGATCTCTTTCACCAGGATCTGTGGCATGCTGCCAGCATTCTCGTAGACGTCCCACTCTCAGTTCGAGGATGCCAACCGTGATGGACGAGAGAGAAGCTTTTTTTGAGGCGGGATACGGAGTTGGCCCTGCTGACATGATGGACGCCCCGGCAGGTGTAACTTTGCGCTTTCGTTTCGCCTTAGTCGTCGTGGGGGCTCTTGCCTTCCTCCAGGTTTGGAGGGAGATGGAGTCTGGGCACTCGTTGACGAAGGAGGGCGGCCTCCTTCACTCCGCGACTTGAAGCTGGAGGCCGAGTCGTGTTTTTTCCTTGCCGGCCAGGAATGCTTTTGCGTTTTTGGAGCCAGTCCGCAGGGGGCAGATGTCCGGCTTCAGGTGAGGCCTTTTGCGCCTCAGCCTGCTTGGTGATGTTGACAGAGACGTCCCCAACAGGTGCAGACGAGTTCCCACATGGTCTTTGCAGAGGCCCGCTGGAATATCTCGCCGCTTCGGCTCCTCGTGAGATGCTGGCAGGTGTCCTCAAGCCCAGAAGGGGGCAGGGCCGAGGCCAGAGCTGCAAACCGGGTATTTCCAAAATGGGTGACTCCGGGTCATCCTCGAGAGTTTTGTCAGGCCAGCAGCGCCGGCAAACGAGCCACCGGGGGGCATGAGGAGAAGATTGGCCATCGCAGTGGAGACCTCCTTGCCAAGCAGTTGGCGACAGGAGGAGCCGGAGGTCACGATAAGGCTCCAGGTTTCTTGGATGGAACTTGGAATCTCAAATCAACGCGGCTTGATGTCAGCTGAGGCCCCGCGGCTCGGTGAGGCATGGCCGGAGTTGACTTCGCAGACTTGACGGGACCTGGTTCCCTCTCCTTCCTCTTCACAGGCATCTGCCCGCCGCTGGGCCAAAGTTGCCACTTCCGGTGTGGCCGCAAGCTCGGTCTGTCGAGGCATTTGGAGATGCCATGACTTTAGCACGCGCAAGTGCAGGTCTCGGCAAAGGAGCCGCTGAAGCGTGCCTCAGCTGCACGGAGCTGCTGATCACCACAACCTAGTCTGGAGACTGGCGCTATCGTCGGCCAGGAGTAGAGACAGCAGGGGTGATGGTCGGAGAGAGCGAGCTTGAGGTGCTGCCAACTGCACAGCCTGGCCCTCACTTGGTTGCCCTTGCAGTGGGGCTAAAGCCGTGCTCTAAGTCAGCCCTGGCAAAGGTCGCACTGGAGCTCGTGGCCGCGGGTCCATCAGACCTTCATGGCTATTGGATTTTCACAGCAGGAAACGCTCGACACAGTGCCTTTGATGCTCATGTGCCTTTTTCTCGTGCACGGTACAATGCAGGGAGCCCCAGCTGCAGGACTATTTGTCATGGTCGTGGCTCCGAGGCATGTGGCCCCGTTTGGAAGCTGTGTCAAGTGCTGCTGTTGCTCCGTGTGCTCATCAGCAGGAAGAGCTCGGGATCCTGTTTCTGCATGTCGGATGTAGCTCTCGAGTCACTCTGCGGTCGCAGCCCGAGAGAGATTCTTCGACATTGAGGGCTTCAAGTTAGAAAATTATTTCTGTTTTCAGGTAGAACGGCTCCCTTGGAGAGACGGTCTCTTTGCGACGCTGTGGCGGGGAAGGCAGCTGCTCCCTCTCACCTCCATGGGCCGGACCTGCCTGGAATTGCCAGGTCGACGAGACGTCGGGTGCTCTCACGGTGACCCTCCCAGCTCTTTGGAGACGAGACCCGACTGGGCCGCTTTTCAGGTTCTGTGCAGATCCTGGGCTCCGGAGGCACGAGATAGTCGGGCTTAGCATGCCCTGGGATCACGGTGCCGCTCTCTCATCATGACCTTCGGAGGCAGCCGGCTCCTGCTTCTATGATCCAGCGACGGGAACTGGCGGACGGATCGAGGCCGGGAGGAAGCAGACCAATAACGTCGGTGTGAAAATGCTAGAGAAATCATGTCCTTGCGATCCATAGCAAATCTTCGTTTCACGCAGGTTTTCGAGGAGGATCGACTGGTGGTTCATCGCCGCACAGACGGAAGTGAGCTTCGCTGGAAGATTCTGAAGATGGCGCGGCAGTGCGTCTTGTCATCGCTCATTGACTTGGTCGTGCTCTTCGTGTGCTGCATTTGCAGGAAGCCAACCCCTTCCCAGCGGCAGGTCAGATGACAGTTTGCTGGATGCCGACTTTCCAGCTGAACACGTCCTGCCAGGTACGTCGGATGAGCCGGAGGAAGATGCTGATGATGCGTGTCACCGACTCGTGTTTCAGAGACTTGTGAACAAAGTCAACCCCACGCAGAAGTGAACCGGTGGTCCCTCGAGTTCAGGCCACACCTTGGAAACATGAGTTGGAAATGGATTTCGCCAGCTGTCCTGTTTGTTTGCCAGGCCGGAAGATTCCAAAGCTGAACCTTCCAGGCCACATAGACATTCTTATCTGCAGTGGCACAGCCCCCTAGACAGGCATGCGAGAAGGGTCAATCTGTCTGATAGCGGCATCCAGGGACTGGTAAGCTTGCATGTTTGTTACTAGCAGCACTCGGGTGAACGAAGTTGAGGTATTGACAGATAGAGTTTAGCGGCTTCGCCGATGAGTGCGCCCAATGTCCCATGTTCAGACTCCACGACCACCGTGTAGGAGAAGAGATGCAAAGACTGCCAGACGCAGTGATCAGGACGGACAGCCTGGTTCATGTATATGCAAGTGTCGCAGTTGCATTCCAGTTGCTGCATGTGGCTACCCGGTGCCGGAAGGTTAAGTAGTTTCGTCGAGTGATATGTACAACTGCTTGAGCAAACTCTTGCAGCAGGGGGCCCAGACGTTTTGCTGGCAGGACACCTCGCATTCGTTGCCGAGATCGCGATCAAGAGAGGCCGTGAACATCCTAGTCCTAGCGATAAGCAGCTGCACCACCGTGTGGCCCAGGAAACGAAAGAGAAGCAAAAAGCACGGGCAAAGAAGGCCAAAAACATCGACAAGGAGCCAAAGGAGAGTGCAAAGGCGAAGGAGAAAGGACAGCAAAAGGAGAAGCAGGCTGTCCAGGAAAAGGAGGCCGTTACCGAACACCCAAAAGAGCGGGAGAAGCGAGTGCCCGGACTGCACAACGGTGGAGGGAGAGAGCTGACATTGCATCTCTATTTTGGGCTGAGGTGAAGGAACGACGGGAGAGGCCGACGCCGAAGTCCATCACAGATCCTGATAAGCGTGGGGCGTAGCTGTGCCCAGAACTCGCTGGAGTGGGTCGTCTCTGTAGATGTTTCAACTATGCATCCCAGAAGCATTCGTCCTGCCGGTTCCCAAATGGTCACCAGGTGCTTCTTGCCATGGCTCGCGTCTGCTCAGGGTATCATGATGTAGCGCCTTGAAGAACCAAATAGCTTGTATTGCGGTCGGGCCAGACTTGGAAAGCAGCGGCTGAGGGACTGGCATCGCTGATACTTTAATTTGCACATCACTGTCCGCATCATGTTCGGAAGGTCTCTGTGGATTGCTAGATCACATGCAGCGCTTTGACCGACCTTGAGCAAAGTTGTTCCTTCCGGCAGGGACTGCGAGCGCGATCGGGAAAAGGCAAGGGACAGGCCGGCGGCCGGGTCTTCGCTTTGGCAGCTGTGGCACTGGTTTTGGAGAGGCAGCAGACCGACCGAGACAGGGAGGAGTGGCGGGCGCGAGAGAGCTACTTGGCTCTTGGGTCAGGCGGCTTTTGCCTCGGATACTTCGGATGTTCTTGTTTTGGGCCAGTCGGAGCCCAGGACAGAAAGCTCGGGAGCGCATGCGGGAGGAGCGAGAAGCCGAAAGGAGCGGTAGGGACCCAGGGACCTTGGGTGTCCTTCCAGGCGTTTGTGGCCTTGTGCCAGGAGCAGAGAAAGGGATCGGGACAAGGCACTCCTCTGACACCTGGCTGTTGGTGGCTGGTGTGCTCTGCCTCGAGGAGAGGAATCATCGAGATCGGCACAAGGATAAGTCGCGCGAGCCTTCGCGAGCCTGAGTCCCATAGCCGAGATGCTTCGAGAGGATGGAAGACTTGCGTGCGGCGTTCAGGACCGCGAGAAGCCGAGGAGACAGCTCGAGAGGACCGGTGGTGCTTCGAGTTCGGGTGGACGCGCTGCCAAGCTCCGAAGCCGCCGAAGCCGCCGAAGCCCTGCCCCAGGAGCCATGCTTTTGACAAGGCGGCCGCTCCGAAGTCAACGCGCCTCGGCCGCTCAGATTTGCTTTTGCCTTGGAGCCGGTACTAGTAGGTTAGAGCAAAGGTCTATCCCTGCTGGGCAATCTTCTGCCTTGCCCGTGACTGCTACGAGCGCGACATCGCTTTTGGCTGCTGCTGCTTACCAGGACGGGACTTTGTGGGACCATTTTTGGACTCAAAAGAAGTTCTTTCAAATAAACTCTTGCAGGCCCGCATCGAGCCGAGTCTGCCAAATCCGGAAGTAGAGCACTTCCTGTCGCTCAACAGCGCCACTCAGCAAAGCAGCAATACTACGTCAAGGAAAACGGGCTGTCTCATCTCTGCGACATGCTCAGGTGGAGCCGCATGCCGCCGCCAAGCTCCGATCCCTTCCGTCGCAGACCTCGGACGTGCTTTGGTCCTCAAGGACACGGCGTAGAAGTGCTACGAAGGCGTGCTCTGCAGCGGTCGGTTCTGGAGCGTGGTTCGCTGATGGGAGCGCGTGATCCGCCAGTGCCTCTGAGTGCAGACCGCGGCAGAAGGCCGTCAAGCGGAACCGCACAAAAGTTGCCTTGAGGTCGGCAGTGCTGATCTCTCGTGTTCGCTGGGCCCCCTATGAGGCACTTCCCAGCGACCCTGCAAAGCTCCCTTCGGCTGAGGTGACATCATGATGTCAACGGCGCACGCGATGCCAACCCTGCCGATCGTGTCCGTGACGTTACCGAACGGACAGCAGGTCAGCTGATTTCGAATCAGTTAGAGTTGAGAGTGCGGCTTCATCTTTATAGGGGCATCTCGAACGCAGGTGCACCCTGGCGTTGAGGCACTGATCCTCCGCTTCGGCCTGGATGCGCAGTGCGCGCAGCAACTCCGCCAGCTCCCTCTCCAGCTCCAGGCGCGGCTTCGCAGCCCTCGGCCCTCGCGCCGGTCTGGTTCGATGTCCCGCGCCCGCACTAGGCCGTGGCAGCCGAGCTGCCGGTGCACGAGGCGCGGAATCCCTCCGCCTTCGTCATGGCTGCTCGCTCAGCAGTTTCAGTCGAAGCCTCTTTTAAGCCTTCTTGATCCTTGAGGCCCAGCTGCAGCTCCCACGGTTTAAGCAAGCTGCGGCAGCTGCCAAAGCAATGCAAGGGCCGGCGACCCAGCTCTCAGCTCACTCTGCACCACAGCTGCGGAGCGTAGGCTTACGAAGTCGCTCTGCGCTGTATGGTTATAGAGATAGCGAGAGCCGCAAGCTCCTCAGAACCATCGCAGCTCTTTTCAGTTTTCATCACATTGAACACTTCTTCGAAGCTAAAGAGGTGCTTTGGTCGCAGCAACTTTATGTGTCTTCTTCTTGCAGGCTCTGAGCTGGCCTGGCCGTTGGCCATGGGGAAAGATCCTGCGAAGTGAAGCCAAAGAAGCCTTGTCTTTCAGGGTTCCGACTGATCTAACTCTATCTAACTCTATCTGCATATCAGAGCTTGCAACCTAATCTGAGCTGGACTCGATTGCTTCTTGCTTCTGCCGCCCTGGCTTAAACCACCATGTGGCACCTTGACCTGGCAGTCGAGGCCGGGCTGCCAAGTAGACGCCCCTCGATAGCCTTGGTCCTTTCGTGTTGCAGGCTGGTCACGATGGAGAGCCAACCCCTCACAGGCAAGGTCTGCAGGACTTCAACTTTGGTGCCAAGCGAGCGCTGCGCATCCAACGCGACATGCTTCCCTGCGCAGCCCGCCGGCTGAGCTGGGCTGACCAGGCGGGACAGCAAAATTGCTCCCTTGCTGACATTTCCATTCAGTACCACCCTGACAGAATGCTTCGGAACTGGCCTCTACTATACCGCAGGCTCCGTGCTCAGTGATGCGGTGATGTCGCTCCACTTGTCTGGGTCCTGTGTCTGCAGGCACCAGAGCCCCCTCCCATTGGCGACATTGGTGAGGAAGATGACGACGACGAGGAAGTCGATAGGCCTGCAGCGCGCAGGAAAAGAAGCCCGACTCGGCCGAGAGATGACGGTGTTTACGAGAAAGACTTCCTATACTCAAACCTCTATGTCTCGAGCCCTAGACCAGAAAGGCCCAGAGCCCCCCCGAAGCACATGGAATCTCTAAAGCCCAAGCTGTCGAAGGCCTGGTGTCAGGACCCTGGAGATGGGCATCCTGTTGCAGGGGCACGGAGCCCCAAAAGCTGCGCTCTTTTGGTCGTAGCTCATAGGAGTTCTTCAACGTAAGGACAGCTTCTGCTACCTCTGCTGCATTCTGCTGCTGAAGCTTCTACTACTAGTACTGGTAGTGGCGCATGTGCTGACACCACTACTAGTGTTAGTGGCATGATGAACTTGCCATTGCACTCAGCATTAGCATCCTTGCCGTTGTTGTTGCTTCCTGTTTTCGTTCTTCATTTGTGCCGGTTCCCGATGAACTGTTCGCGCGGGTCTTGGAGCTGGAAGTGGTGAAATCCTAAACCCTAAACCCTAAAGCCCTAAACCCATAAAAACCCTAAAGCAGCTTTCAGGTATGCCTACCGGTCGTGGGTCGAGCTGCCCTCGAATGGCCAACTCGTAGAGGCCCGGGGGGTTGGGCCTTCTTTGGTCAGCCGCGATAGACTCCGCGGTGCATCCTCAAAAAGGGGGGGTTTAGGGTTTAGGGTTTACGGGTTTAGGGTTTAGGGTTTAGGGCGCCCCCTTCCTTGCATGAAGGGTGCGGCTCTCTAGATTCCAGAGGCAGCACTCGATGGTAAATGCAAGCCATTTCGGGCTTAAAGATTGACGGACTGATGGCTGCATCGGCACGTTGATCGCACAGATGTTGTCATCCTCACAGCAGGGAAATGCCCGCAGGTTGTCCTTTCTTGCGTTCCGCCTTGAGGTGGTGGGGCCTCTCCCGGCAGGGATCGACATTTTGGCGTCGAGCTCGGGCATGAAGCGAAAAAACGGGGCCTGAAGTAGAGCCTCTTTCTGTTGCAGGTCAAAGATGAAGGTAGCCCTGAGCATCCGGCGGCGCTGTGGTGAACCTGGCCTGCTTATAGGCCTCTAGGCTGTGTTGCGCCGAATCCACAGAATCCACGGAAGGATCGCTAGATCGCTAGACTTGCGTCGAGCCTCCTTGCCAGGATAGAGGCAGAGCTCAAAGATCTCGGCGTCTTCTACCACGGTGCGCCAACTCTCACGAAGCCTAGATCCTAGGGTCCTAGATGCTTTTGAGATAAGCTTTCAGTCCTGGAGGCCTTCTTGTCAGAATCGCCGGCGGCGAGTTTGCGGAGGTGGTGGTCAATCTCAAGGCATTCCATCTGTTTGCGTTTTATTTGGCCTCTGGTTCATTGCCCTTTGCTTCGAGGCCTGCGTCGTGGGTCCCAGGGAAGGGCGACTATCGAGGCAAGCCGTGAGGCGGAAGTCCCGCTTGAGACTGTCATTTCCGTGCTCGAGAGGATTCACCACAACGTCGAGCTCATAAGAGCTCTGGCGCCCGAGGTTCTTTGAATGCTGTGCTGATGCTTTGGAATGCTTCGCTGAAAGCAAACATGAGGCCATTCCTATCTCAAGCCAGTGCTCTTAGGTTATCTGAGCCCGTGTGGATCAGACGACCAGCTAGCGTTGTTCACCGCGGTTATCATTGCCCGATGCTTCAACGTGGCTGGTGCCAGAATCGACTGCGACCTTGGTCGGTTCTTGCGCTCGCGGCATCTTCAGTCCAGTTTGCGGTGCCTGTGCCCTTTGCAGTGTCAAGGTTGCATGCTCGCTCCTTGCAGGTTAGAGCTGCATCCGGAGAAGGAATGTCGAAGCGCGAGGCATTGCACCAACGCTGTACCCTCTCCTGGCATGATTTTCTGTGTCGACTCAGCGATGGCGAAATGGATTCCGTGTTCGTGCTTTGTGGATCGACGGCTGGTAATCTGGGAGCAGTCTTGAGATCCTGCACGTTGCTGGGCATCTCTGCCCTCTGCATCGTCGGTGGACCTTCACGTGCCTTGCTGGACAAAGCATTTCGCTTTTCTATGGTGGAGCAGAAGAGCCACTGGGAAGTCGCAGTCGTACCAGTTCCAGCCGACGTGAATCCTTCATGCGCCATGACTGCGCTCAAACGCACGGGGACCAAGCTTGTGGGCTTAGTGGCCAAGGATACGACGGAGAAACCGCTGTTCGATCTGTGGGACCTGGACCTAACAAAAAACAGGCTGGCATTCGTGTTCGGGTCGGACGAAGAAGATGGCGAGGCATTTGCTGAGGGAGTTGAGAAGAGTCTAGACATGCTGGCTACTGTACCCATGCGACGCTTTCCTGTATCTCGGCACGAGCCTGCCAACCTTGCGAAGCCAAAGATCGAAGCCTCTCCGGGACCAGCCGACACACTGAATTTGTCAGTGACAGCATCCATTGTGGCATACGAGCGAAGACGACAGCTCAGCACTTGGCGGTCAAAGCTTCGAGAATGGACCCGAAAGATGTGGAGCACTGGAAAGAGAGATGTTCAAGTTTAGGGTTTGGGGGATGGTGTCTGAACAGTGCCAAGTGTTGAATGCAACTCCGATCCTGTGCGTCGTTACCGGATGGGTGTTAAGGGCCGTGCAAGCCAGACTGTTGCAAAGTACTGCAAGACGTAGCCTATACGCGTGTGGAGGAAATCCCTGCGCTGAACTTCAGGATGTCCATGGCCTCTCTGAAGGCAGTGTCTTCAGAAAAGCGGCGCAGTTGATGGTCGCGTCCTGAGACCTGTCTGGCCGACGCCAGCCTTGGCAATATGAAAGTTGACACATTGCAGGAGGAAGACGACGAAGACGATGGCTGAGGCTTGGATGTTGTTGGAGTTGAGAACTGCAGTAGGATGCAGTTGGACTGCCGTAAGCTGAAGCCGAAACAGCTTTTCGTTTTCATTGCCTCATGAGTTGGATCTTTGATCCGGTTGAAAAATTGAGTAAGGCGGGGTGGGTCATGGGCTTCTCGGCAGGCACTGTGAAGTTGCTCCACCTGAGACGCACGAATGATCTGGATCGTTTTGCTCACTTGCGAAAGAACAGCAACACACCAACTAGCTGAGAAGCCGCCAGTACCGGTACTATTCCTTTGCAGGTGAACTGCTTCAGATGCCTTTGTGTCACTCCCGTGATGTTAAAGTTGTCGGGAAAGTCACGCGGCGCAGCCGTTCCATCTCTGCACCTCGCGCTGCTTCGGTTTCACCCTCAGTTTGAGTTTCGATTCTAGCTTTCGCCTATTGCTGGTCAAACCGGCTGTGTGTTCTCTAACGCCTAGCAGACTAGACTAGCATAGTAAGTGTCAACCAGTGCAACAAGTTTATCAGGCGACCTGCTAAAGGTAGCACGCTGCGGCGAAGCCCCTTCACCTGGCGCAAGACCAAGACTGGAATACATTGATGCCAAGCCCGTGGGGGGTGCTTCTGCATCGGAATGCAATGGAAGCAGGGCTGGGCCCGTGCAGGCCGCTTTAAGAAGAGCCGGGCATCAGCCCTGAAGGTGCTGGTGGCAAGCAAGGGCGCTGGAAGGCGCGTTACTGTCCCAGCTCTCACCTTGAGCCAACGTAAGTGCTCAGGGTGTTCGAGCCTATAGGTAGGATAATATGGAATTTGCCGAATCTTCTCCTTCTTCTGGGATCGTGTGAATAGATACCATAACGAATTCTCGATGAGAGGCTTAGGCAAGAGCAGTGACTTGCGTAGAAATAGAATTGTGTGTAGTCCTCATCATAATCCGACATGTGCTACATCAAATAGGCTGCAGCTCACAGGAACAAGCAGCTTCAGCAACCACCCTGTGTCTGGAAATCCGGTGCAAGGAAAAGAAAAGCACGCACTGAAGTTGATGTGTTCCCTGCGTGGGGCTTGGAGACGAGACTCTGTGAATTTCCTTCGGATTCTACGAGGTCCTGTTCAAGTCAAGTCAAGAAGCGCATGGGACATGCATCACCAGGGTGAAGCGCATCTCGATCAAGCCAGCTAGCAGCTAGTAGCAGATGCAAGCTGCCAGTAACCACGATCGCAGAAACACTGCCTCACAACATGCCTGCAGACTCTACCCGACAGCACTGCACTAAGTTGTAGAGGGTGGGTGACACCGAGCCCATATAAACACCACCAGAGCCAAGACACACATCCCGGGTGCCTGGATGCGCCGCAGTTGCAGGTGCCTGGCACCGGCCAAGCTTTCCGATGTTGCCTGCTTGTTGTATTGTTCCAAGAGTGGCTTCTGCTTTGTACCGCTTGCCAGAGTGAAATCTCTGAGGGCACGCGGCGCATGGCTACGGTGGTTCCGGCTGATGATTGAGACCTTGGAGGACTTTCATCCCGTACCCAGAAGACCTTGACAGGTGGTTCCTTTGCGGTCGCTGACGCCACAAGCGCAGGTGGGTCACAGAGCCAGCTGTCCTATAAAGAGCACAGCGATAAGTAGTATGTGAGAAAACAGATGCAAGCACAATGAAGGCAGGACTCTAGACGGCAACTCCAAACAGGTAGTAGTGTGTGTGTGTGTGTGTGTGTGTGCGTGTGTGCGTGGGTGCGTGGGTGCGTGGGTGCGTGGGTGCGTGGGTGCGTGCGTGTGTGTGTGTGTAGTTATGTGTGACTCTCTGTTTGCATACATACATACATACATACATACATACAAACATACATACA